CAGCACCCCGCTTTAGAATTTTGTCCCCAGAGAGCTTAAACAACTCTGCCCCCGATGACCTTGATGTGGATACTTTTGTTCCTCTTTTAAGGATTTTTAACATGACATGGATGGTTTTAAGTTCACCTTGTTTATTTTAGTGTTCTGTTTTACTACTTTTATTTTTAAAGTCCATTTTGTAGTATTTTCCTTATAAACTGCCTTGTACACCTTCATTAGGGCCAGATTATCTCCTCTCAAGGTGCCACAAGTTGTTCGTTCCAATTCAGTAATCCTGTGATTTTCTAGTCATGCATAACTTGTGGGCATGCCTTGTGGGAGGGGGGAAAGTAATGAGACTGGATAGTATTTAAGAGCAGGTTACCAGCCTCCTGTTGTAATTAATGGCTGTTGCAGTTATTCTTTGCATGCATGGCTGAGGGCCAGTTGGATATGGGATAAAGAGAACGGGCTTCCCAATTTGTTAGCTGTGATAGCAGATCAAGCTCAAAAACACCACCACAGGAGTTTAGAAACCTGAAGCACTTTGACCATAAGATAGAAAAGGGTTGGCCCCTTTCACGAAGAAAGAAAAGAACTGAGAAACTGTAAGATGAATTGGTACTTCGTTACCACATTTTTTTTTTTTGGATAGACATTTATGTGATTGGGCAGTGGATCTCTGTACAGGTAGTCCTCATTTATCGACTGCAATTGGGACTGGCAGCTCTGTCACTAAGCAAGTTGGTCACAAAGTGAAACATCACATGACTGCACTCCATTTACCACATTAGTTCCAGCTGCGGTCATTAAGCGAGTCACCCACAAAGGTTAAGTGTGACATCATGTGACTGTGACCTGCAACTTCCTGCCAGCTTCCCCATTAACGCTGCTTGTCAGAAGCCAGCTGTGAAGGTCACAAATGGCAATCGTGACTGGAGGACTCTGGGATGGTTATAAATGCACGGCAGTTGCCAAGCACCCAAATCGCAATCACATGACTGCAGGGCCGCTGCAACGGCCACAATTACAAAGAACAGTAATCTCCTTTTTCAGCACTGTCATAATGTCGAACTGTCACTGAACAAGAAGTTGGTAAGCGAAGACTGCCTGTACCATTACTGACTGAGTGAAAACCCTTGCAAGGTTCAGAAGCTTAATGATGGAAAAGCACAGGTGCCATTTTGCCTTAAAGAATAGTTACGTCAAAATGCACTGTGAAATGTAAAGTTCATTTTTTCAGTGTGTAAGATTCTTTGATGAGTACTATGACTAAGGTACTCAAAATTTACATCTCTGGAACACACAAAATAATAGTGTTCAGATATGAATTGGTCTATATAATAGGAATATAAAACGTATATCAGTTGCAGTGAATTCCTTTTCTGTGCTATCCTCTGCATTAATAAAATTAATTCTAGTTCAAAAGAGGCTTAGAGAAGTTATTTCTCATAATTTCACTTACGATTTTTTTAATGCAGCAAACATTCAAGTTTTTTTTTTCTAACTTGTTATTTTAAACTTGTTTTATTTGCCCAAAGGACCACTGAACATCATTGTATCAGCTCATCAATACAGAAATGTTTTTTGGTCTTCATTGGACATTTAGAGATAAATAGGTTCTTAAAATGTTCATAAAGTAAGCTGTCCAAGCAATTTATACTTGTCACATGTTTTAATTACTTAAGATGAATATTCACAAGGCTTTATCCCTGGTCTCGGATTATAATAAAAATATCCATCTTCAAACAGTTTGTATTTTTGACTAATCTAGCCATAAAATTAGACTTCTCGTAGAAAGTTTTCTTCAACCCTTTAAATATATTCTAGCAAAATATGAATTGAAGCTGTTTTATCACAATGACAGAATGACACTACAGTACATGTTCATTTGGCAGTAACGTACAGTTGACAGATTGCAGTGTTTTCAACTGACACAATTACCTTTGTTTATTCTGCTTTTCATTTGAGTTTGCTAAACATTGCTCCATTATTCCTGTTATATCCATTAATATAATTGAATAAATAAATGAATTCTAAGTGCTGTGCATAACATGGAGAATAACAAGAGATTAAAATGCCAAACTTGAGATGCAGAAATAAGCTGTGTAAATACTGGCCTTTTAAACGATTCCTTTAAAAAATAATGATGATAATCTTAATGAGGGAAAACAGGACACTGCTGCTGAATTAAAATTTGAGGCAACTTAAATTGGCCTGATTTGGACATTTGAGAGAGGTTAAAATAATTGCAGTACAATTAAGAGAAGAAGGTTAAGTTCTAGATTTTTTTAAACGTTTTGTGCAAATTTAATCTATTGTCATTTGGATTGCCATTGGTATTGTATAGCTTTTTCTCTCACATCTGTCTGTGTGCGCATGCACACCTACACAGTGTTTGTTAAACAGGTTGTGCACTTAAAACAGCGTATACTGAAGCTTATGCTTTTGCAATTGCTGTACCAATTTGAACAGAAACAGCACTTAAATATTAAGCACTTTAAACATGAGGCTTGAGATACAGAAACAGCACAATTTAGTTTAAGAGAAGTACGAAATAATAATGGATAGAGCAGTGTTTCTCAACCTCAGCAACTTTCAGATGCGTGGACTTCCACTCCCAGAATTTCCCCCCCCCCCATCCGTCGGCGGGGGTTTTGTGGGTGGGAAGGGACCCTCCTTGCGGTGTTTGGGGGGGGGAGAGACTGACCTC